TGCAACGTGCAATCCTTTCCCGAAGAAATTCTCCCCGAGGTTTTTCCGTGCGGCTGTGTTTCAAATTCAGTATGGGCTGGAAAAAAAAATATGTGATTTTTAGATATGCGTGAAAAGGCGACAGGAATGTCTCGTTCAGGTGGGGAAAATCTGTTCGCTCCAAGCTTGGGAGCGAACGGGCGCCATCAATCTTGGTTTCTGATCAGGAGAACATTTCTAGAAAAGTGTATTTTGGGAGGATCCAATTTTGCAATTCTCCATGATGGCTTTTGGGGTCAGAGATGGTGAGACGGGGTTAATTTCCCCTGTTTTCTTAGCCTTCCGATCCTTGGATGCTATGTGCATTTTCTGCCTGCCTCTTTAATGGAGCTCTCCGGGGTCCTGGATCATCTGCCGAAGCCCCGAGACTAGATCGGATCAGCCAAAGCTGTGCGGTTCCTTTGATCTGTAATTGGAAAAAGGAGATGCCATCAGAGGATCCGCCGTTGAGAATCAGTCCTGGAAAAGTGGCCCAGATGCTTTTCATCAGCTTTGGACATGGGAAGAGGAAGGGAAGTTGTGTGAGGAAAGGGAGGGAGGGAGGGAGGGAAGGAGGAAGGAGAGAAGGAAGGAAGGGAGGGAAAGAAGGAAGGGAGGGAGGGAGGGAGGAAGGAGAGAAGGGAGGAAGGAAGGAAGAGGTGGAATGTGGGAGGGAAGGGAAGGAAGGAAATGGAGCATAGGTAGGAAGGAAGGAAGGAAGGAAAGGATGGAATGTGGGAAGGAAGGGAGGGAGGAAGGAGAGAAGGAAGGAAGAAAAGGATGGAATGTGGGAAGGAAGGAAGAAAAGGATGGAATGTGGGAAGGAAGGGAGGAAGGAGAGAAGGAAGGAAGAAAAGGATGGAATGTGGGAAGGAAGAGAGAGGGAGGAAGGAAGGCGAGAAGGGAGGAAGGAAGGGATGGAATGGAGGGAGGGAAGGAAGGAAGGGGTGGAACATGGGAGGGATGGAAGTAAGGAAATGGTGGAGCGTAGGAAAGAAGGAAGGAAAGAACATTGGGAGAGGGAGGAGAATTCTGGGAGTTGAATTCCATGCATCAAGCTGCCAAGGTTGAGAAACAGGAAGGAAGGAAGGAGATGGGAATGAGAAAATATGGAAGGGAAAAGGAAAACAAATCAGGCTCATGAGATCTAGAAACCTGTCCTTTAAAAAAAAAAAAAAAGGTGTCATCTGAAGACAGAATCTGTTTCCTTGTGGGGGCGCATAGCCTATATAAGGTTTAAGCACTACACTGAGGCAGGGGTGGGATTCAAATATGGGAACAACCGGTTCTCTGCCTGGATGCCGCTTCCGGAAGTCCATTCTGGGCCACAAAAAAATTAGCTACCGGTTCTGCCGAACCGGTGCACAACCGGCTGAATCCCACCACGGCATTGAGGGCTTTGCACCAACAAGCCTCCGATAAATCTTTTCCATTTTTCCGTTTGTAGATAACCCAAAATGTGCAGATATATATATATATATATATTTATATATTTCTTGCCACCTACACGCTCCTTTTTAATTGCAACCCTCCTGTTGAACTTTTGGGAAACAGTTCTTCTTTTTTAATATATATATATATATATATATATATATTAGGAAAAAAAATATCTCTTTTTTTTGGGAACGCAAAAAAATCTGGTACGCGGTAGACGGGGAGGATGGGGGGGGGAGAAAGTAAGTGCAGGCGGGTTCAGGAAGGAGAAAGACACCCGTGGTGTGAAAATTGCTCCGGCTGGGCACACGGAAGTGAGGGTGTCGGCGTTGCTAGGCATTTTTTCCCAGGCTTCAGTGGGACTCAGCAGGCTTTTGACAGGTGATGGATGTAATTCGTGCTTTGACTGTCACTGGAGCAAAAAAAAAAAAAAAGGATGAATTTCCGAAGCGGGGAGAGGGGTGTGTGTGTTAGAGCTCTGGACCCATAACAGCGAACACGTGCTCCAGAAGTTGTGAATGCTCCAACACTGGAAGTTTTTAAGAGGAGATTGGACAGCCGTTTGTCTGAAATGGTGTAGGGTTTCCTGCCTGAGCAGGGGGTTGGACTAGATGACCTCCAAGGTCCCTTCCAGTTCTGTTTCTGTTTCTATTCTATTCTATTCCCTATTCTGTTCTATTATTCTGTTCTATTCCATTTCATTCCATTCTATTATTTTATTCCATTCCGTTCCATTCCATTCCGTTCCATTCCATTCCATTCCATTCTATTCTATTCTATTCTATTCTATTCTATTCTATTCTATTCTATTATTATTCTATTTCATTCTATTCCGTTCTGTTCTATTCTATTCTATTCTATCCCATCCCATCCCATCCCATCCCATCCCTTCTAGCACTGATGATGTTACCTAGTTCTCCTTTATTGTTTTCACTCTCTAATATTGTCTAGATTCTCTACACATTTGCCTAATTCCTTTCCAAAAACCAGCCCAAAAATACCCCTCCGTCTAGTGGCAGGGAGTTCCGAAGTCTCACCCTCCCCATTCTGCACAGTTCTTCCTTCAACCGGCCCTGGATTCCCTCCCACCCCACCCTCTAATTTGAGAACCTCATCTTTGTCTTCCCACAGTGTATGGGTTTTCTTTACACACACACACACACACACACACACCGCTTTCTCATCTCTCTTTTCCTGTCTTGGCTCCCTGCTCGGAAAGATCCCCCAGTGGTGCCCTTTCCTCCCGGAAGACCTGCTCGCCCTCGCGAGCCGTCTCCGCTGTCCTTTTCTCGCCCCTGGCAAGTCTCTCCTCGTCGTTAACAGCGGCAGGCGACGTTGCGTGGGCAGGGAAGTGCCTATTATGGGCTGGAGTAGAAAGATCCCTTCCAATGAAAGGATTTTTTAAAATATATATATATATATTATTTTGTCATGCTGGGAAGCAGCAAAAGTTCAGCTTCTCCGCCAGCAGAGGACAAGGGACCTGGGGAGACGTGGGTGGTTCTGGCAACGTCGTCAGCCGCGCTGGGCTTCCATAGACTTCTTTTGGGGAGGGGGGATAAAGAGGGAGAGAGAGAAAAGAGAGAATTAAAGCATCTTTTCTGCTCCAGAGACATGCCACCGGGAAAGCGATCCAGTTTGGCAGGATTTTGCAGGCCGTTGTGTTCCTGAGAAGATGCCATGGTGGAGAGTGGCAGATGGAGCTGGGGATCAGCCTGTGTGTTTGTTTGTGTGTGTGTGTGTGTGTACGTGTGTACGCAGCATGGTGGCTAATGCAGGAGAGTGACGGCAAAGAGGAGAAAAGACCAAAGTTATGAAATTTAGAATAGAATATAGAATAGATATGATAGATAGATAAAGTAGATAGATAATATTCATAGGATAGATAGATAGATGATAGATAGATAGATAGATAGATAGATAGATAGATAGATAGATAGATAGATAGATAGATAGATAGAAAGATAGATAGATAGATAGATAGATAGATAGATAGATAGATAGATAGATAGATAGATGATAGATAATATGACAGAGACAGACAGACAGACAGACAGACAGACAGACAGACAGACAGACAGACAGACAGATAGATAGATAGACATAATATTCATATGATAGATAGATAGATAGATAGACAGACAGACAGACAGACAGACAGACAGAGTAGATAATATTCATAGGATATATATATTCATATGACATAGATAGACAGACAGACAGATATAGATATATAGATATATGCATATAGATACATAGATATACATACACATGTATTCATTGTTTTACTTGTACATGAGATTAACTAAGTCCAGGAATCTGCAAACTTCCAGGCGTCTCTGGAAACCCCAACACCCATCATCCTTACTGGCAGGGGCTGATGGGAATTGGGGTTCAACAACCTCCAGGGCT